GCCGTACTGTACGGTGTTTACAAAAATGAATAGACCATCGTAAATCGTTTTTCCGTCAAACACTGCAACATACTATTATTTTTTATATGGACACAATACAAAGGCGTTCAAGTCTTGGCATCTGACCAGCCACCGGAGCAACCTCACACAATTATTATTATTATTATTATTATTATTATTATTATTGTTATTAGAGTATACGAACGTTAACTGTATCTCTATTACGCGGGGTAAAGTCGTCCGCGGTCGCAATAAACATATTATTATCGTTATATTATGTGTAGCCATCTTCGAACAATACGACGCATCCATAAACGAGTGAGGTGGAAACGGTGGATACTTCGTTCGGGACGATAAAGTTTTCTCGAGGATTTGGACGAGACGGTTCCGCAGTTTCGCGGGAAGGAATTCGCCCCCCCCCCCCTTCTCGCCACCTCACCACATCTCTCGGGGACACGTTATATTGTGCCATGTATAATATATGTATATAATGCAAATAATAATAATATGCAATATTATTATAGTGTGTCGTCTCCGTTGCGAAAACCATTTACGCCGACGGCTTTAAATCGCGTTGTTTACAGGAGTATACGAGCCAACGTGCAGTTATATAGTTTTATATGTATATACCTATACCTTTTAACGGCTGCATCGTTCAGCAGCAGCTGTAGTTATTATGCACTTGTTGCAGTCGTGATCACATCGTCAACACACAGTGCGGAAGAACGTTAACCACGAAGCTAATAGTTATTATTGTCATTAATGAATAATTAAACACGAAATTGACAATTTCATTTTCTTCTCGCTGACTGTACAGTGTATTACAGATGCCAATGGATTTTAAAGCAGCACCAAAAAACATTGAAAAAAATAGCGTATAAAATAAGGTTCAATATTACTTATTCATCACAGGACCTAATGCACTGGAGCATAATTTTGAAGGAAGAAAAAGGTCAATCCCTTACTAGGCGAAATTATACTCTCGGCACTACTCCTTACATAATATACATCATAAAAACCGTACACCCATTTAACCTGTGTGTTTAGCCTTTACATTTGTCAAATTATATTTTAACCAAGAAAGGTATAACCAACGTCCAACATTATACATTTATATCTAAAAGATAAAACTTAAATTAATTGAATTGGAATAATATTACAATATACGTCAATGTCTTACTATATAATATTACGTACCAATATATGTTAAAGTAAATTGTCCATAATAATAATATTAATGTATTATATTAACGAGTATATGCATCGTTTCAAATATTTGAAACCATGTTGTAGTATTATATTATCACATTCATATGATTTTTAATATTATACAAAGATAGTTTTTTATAGTTTTATTATAGTTCTAAAAATAAATTAAAATGTAAATATGAGTTTCTGAGAACCTTTCCACACAACGGTGTTGTACAGCACCGTTGAGCGTAAATCGACAATAATTGTTTATGAGCGACAATAGTCAGAATTTTTCGAAATTCGTCAAACTCGTGAAAGTTATTTTATTAGGTTATTTATTATATAGGTATTCACTGGACAAGTCCTTGTGTTCATTATGAAAAAACATAACAAAATATTATAGAATATGATGTACAAGATAATATTGAAGTTACTCAGTAAACAATTAACGAGTGAGTGTTGTAATAACAAAACTGCAGAATACACGGAAAGAGTATTGTGTGTAGACTCTAATACGAGAATTCTTCTACCCATAGATCGCCAATGTAAATATATATGTATATATAATAATACGTACATATTCTTTTCCATGATTTTTCATTTATAGAACTATTTTATTAGCTTATCTTACACCAAAAATCAGTGATATGCCGGTGATATCCATTGATAATATATATATATATATGTTTATCATCTATATCATTAGATCATATACACTGGATAGAGCTATGGTTTAAAATCTTGAAGCATAGCTGTTCGTGCCCGAAGTCATCACTGAGCATGAGCAAAGTATATGATCTAAGCATTCAATACCTAATCGTCCTAATCAATATAACACATAATTGTTCCTTCCCCGTCCCGCACGATCTATTTCATTCTCACGCATGCGCAATAAGTACTTCGGGCATGAACAGGTCTGCTTCAAACACGGACTACGCGTCATATACGCTATAGCTCTATCCAGTGTGTATGATCTAAGTCTAAATCTATATCTATATTATCTATTATCTCATTAGTCTTTATTATCTATGGTGATATCCACTGTTAATCTTTAAACCGAGTGTGGTATCTCTCGTTTTTCCGTGATAACAAACATTATTGCATATCATGCAGATAAGTGTTTTTGTTTATTCCACGACCAAACTCAAAGACTACTAAGGTGAGACATGTTTTCGAACCCAATAAGTTTTCCAATTTTCCATACTTGATACTTCAATATAATATGCAGTTCAGAGGTTGTAATTCAGGAAAGAAAAACACTATAGTCCTAATGCTGAAAAAAGTGTAGGTACCTACTTGCTTATTTACTTTATTGTCATAATAAAAATGGTAAGAAAATAATTATTTAATAGGCAAATGTATAAATACTACCTAGTTAAAAAGTTGAAGTTAACTTTGTTTAAACTCGTATAAACTGAACTACCTAGTTAGTTGAATTTCTAATTAACTTAAGAATTTAACTATAGCTAGTTAAATTAAGTGGTAAATTAATTTGGCTTTTCCAATTGATTAAACAACTATCCACAAAGTTAAAATTAAAAATGTCTGGTTTTAATGGTGTTTTTACACTAGATAATCACTGTACACACAGTTTTAAACACAATAAGTAGGTTAATACTATAATGTTAGTGATAAGTCATCACTGATAACTATAATGAAACTATAATTTGTGTTATGTTTCTTAGTAAAATATTACTATACATTTGTATATAGATAGGTATAATTACAAAACACTCTTTATATGATTTAAGTACTGGTCAAAAAAGTAGATTAACTTTTTTTAAATTGAGTTAATATGATAATATTATTTCCCATTTTAACTTTTAGCTCTTAGCGAATGTAATTTATTATTTGCTAACTACTAATTTCCAACTTAATGATCTCGCGTTAAATTATAACCTAACTAGAGTTAATTATTTTCATTAACGTTGCTTAACTTTGCCTATAGGTTACATACGCGATATGTAATTTCCTACCTACTACCTGCCTACCTGCCTTATGTCGGCTTAGTTTCGGATACTTCCACGCGTCGGAGATTTGGTTTGGCGGAAGAGTCGCTTATATTGCGTAGGTGCTCGGCGGTGTTGGCAGAGGTGATAAACTTACTGCGGTAAACACAAACTGAATTCGTAATCGCCGAAAACCGGCTGTGTATTGTAATTGTTTGGCGCGTGCGTTAATAGTGTCGCAAACAATGGAATACGTAATATAATATGATATGAAATGATACAAGCATAGAAAGTGGATATATAACTCACACGTACCTCCGTACATATTATACATAATATTAAGTCCCTAACGAGTCGGTGCACGGTGCACACGTCACGCCCACAGACCGCAGACACGCGAGTTCCATAATATACACAGCTCGAAGGCACGATGTAATATTTTACTAGCAAAGCTGAGGGTTGACGACTGCGAAGCATTAATACTCTGGCCTGATTCTTACAAATTTTCCTTACCTTTACAGTATCCTAGTCTATGCTGTGGTTAATTCACCTGAATACCGACACAATTTTTTTATTAATTAAAATCGATTATCAATGCATTTATATGTATATTTAATACGCAAGTATATTTTGCATTTATGTCTGGCTTGATATGTGGCAGTATTCGTGTATCACGGAATCGTGTAATGTATACAATGCTTAATACATGTATAACGTATTCTTGAGCCAACATAGTAGATATATATTTAAAAAATTATAATTATGAAGTTATAGAAACGTTATACAGAATTTTTTTTTTTTTTTGCAAGAGAAATCATGTCGATATTCGTTGTGATATACAGAATATAAGATTCGCTTGAAATATTAATATAGTTTATTCGAAGTATGCAGAGTCTATAATTGTATATGATATAGAACGGCAAATGTTATGAATCGGGTGATTATACAGAAATAGCTGAAGTTCATAATAGCATAGATTAAATATACTAGTATATTTAATCTATGATAATAGAGACTGGCAACTGCAGAACTAAAACCTTTACTGAACACACAATAGAAAAACAGGCACTGACCTATACAATATTTATATTTTTCATTAGTTCGGTGGCATTTATACAGTTTTTTTTTTAATTTAAATTTATCATTATTAGGTACTTATTTAGCTGTTGCCTAGTATGAACAACAAATAATGGATACTACGGCGAAACAGTAATCGGACCTCAGACTAGAATCATTAAATAAATATAGACAAAATCTTTTTTGAAAGAAAATAACAATACTCTACAATATATATTTGATATATTATATTCAATAATATGTAATTCGATGTAGGATAACTGATAAGTAAACCATGTCTTTTAGTTCATTTTTCTACTTAAAGAATAATGGTCAAGATTTATTCCAGAGGTTATTCTTGTCTCATATCCATTTGAAAATAACCTCAATAATGCGTTTAACTTAAATTCATATTTACTTTGACAGTTATCATTTTTATATGCAAACATTGAGAATTAAGAATATCATATGAATATAATATTTATCTAAAATTTATCTGACAAAAGAGGATACTCCCTTCCCCTCCTCTAAGTTAACAACAATATTATATTTACAATGTATTGCATGACGTATTTATAAGTTATAACAACATCTACACAACAAAATATAAATGTATTCATTTTTATTCACTAATCACTATAAATATAATTTAAAAGTATTCTAATCAGTTGTATTTACTTTTCTATAATTGCTGTAATAAAAATTTTTGAAATTTTGAAATTATTGGATTAATCAAATGTTTACGTTTTCAAACTAGGATATTATTTTTACCATTTTTTTTAACGATCAATAATTTTTCAACAGTGTACATGACACGGATGGTTCGTTTTTCGAGAAATATAGCAGCTTACAGTGGAAATTGGATCAGAGACGATTGCAAATGATCAAAGACAGTCGGCAAGATGAGTGCCCTCCACCTGAACACAGCGTCGGAGTGATACCACCACCTGTTTCAAGTATTCAACCAAAAGAGGTAATTTGGTTACTTAATAATCTTATATTTTCATGGGAATCAAATCTAAGATTAAAAATCAACATAGAATAAAAATGTTTGATTAATTTAAAAAAATAACTTAACAGTTTGGAGTATTATAGTCGGGCTCTCAAAAGTGTATATTATTGCAGTAAAAAAATATTATGCACCAAAAGAGATGTTATATTCTTAAAAAAAGGTTATAATAATAACAGTGCATGTGGGTCAATATTTGTACAAATAACACAGACACGACCTGTTTCTGATAGGGTTGATTTGAAATTGGCTGCAAATTGCAATGTACATTGATATTCGAGTCCAATAAATAGCATGTCTTAGAAGCATTCAGAGCATCTGCATTCGCTCTGCACAAAAAAAAATGTGGTTTAAAACCTGATAAAATTCTCTTTACAAAACGTGAGTTGAATTATAGTGTAAAACGTAAAGGTGGATGTCTGGTGGTGCAATTAGTTCAATAGACATTAAATCTTGTTTTGATAATTTTTTTTCTGAATAATTTTTAAGCTAGAAATAAATCAATCGTATAAACGTTAAAAATAAACTCAAGTCTCACACAGGTAAATAGGCATATTATGTTAACGATAATTAATTTAATGTATTACACATTCATAAATTCGATAATATTCTATAGCTGTATCTCGTCATAGATAAATAAACAGCATTCAAAGTTATTATTTGACAGAGGAAAAATATTTTTTCTTATATGTAATTTATATGTTGGTATTGAGTACATGTCTTAAAATGACAAATGAATAATGATTCACCATATTGCTGAACAAATGTTCTTCTTGGGCGGATAGAGGTGTTTCATCTGGATTTCACAAGGAAAAGCACTTTGGCGGGATCTGGTTTGACATGTCAAAAATACACACAATCGAATTAAAACAACCATGTACTGTAAATTAAAAATTCACCATTTTTACCATAACAACAATAATTACTATTTAAAATAACCTTATTTTACCTTATTTCTAGGGTCTAGAACTTGAATATTACGAGTTAAGAGCGAATTAATCACTGTAAATAACTTTAAAAAATATGACAGTATTAAATCATCTATAATCTTTAGTTTGAGCTAACAGATCTGATTTTTCTTTCAACCATATTTCCAGTTTTCACTGTAAACTGTGTTTTCAGTGTTACACAATCAATGCAAACAATTAAAAATTTTAGAATTCCTGATTAATACATATAAAATACAAATGAGTATAAACATTTTAATGACTGAACAACTATTAGCTAGAATTTTTTAGAAAGTACATACACATTTTCAAAAAATGTATCCATAAAATAATTTATTGTAAAAAAGGAGGCTCCTATTTCAATGACAGTAGTTTGCATCTTCGCAGAATACTCCTTAATTAGTACAACAATTAATATAACGAGTTTGAAAAAAATGTCTTTAAAAACCTGTATTTAAAAATTCCAGGGTTTGAATAAATTCACAGTTAAATGAATTAAATGAAGGTGAGAAATAAGCATGCTCGGTGAATCACTCTGTATATTATTTACATCATTCATTAAAATAACAAATCCGATAACAACTAAATAATTCATTTTTGAAATATTTTATTCAGTTATTTTACGTTGTCATTAGTTTTCATAAATCAATACATTCTAGATGATGAATTATTTTAATTATGTTTCAACTAGCTTACTGTTTTGATTTACGAATAAGTACACTTTATGATTCATTCAATTTAAAACTGACTTATCTTAAAATTTTATAGTAACGTATTATGCTTGTATAAACCCAACCAATTTCTAGTTAAAAAGATAAACAATATTTTTATTTTAGACTTTTAAATTAACTGATTTAAAAGCAAAATATAAAAGACATTAAATGTAAAACTTTTTAAACTATAAGATGCTGACTATAAATAATAATTAAAAACTATAAAAGCAACACATTCAAACAAATCCACAGACTGACATTTGAAAAATAAAATAATAAACAAAAGTTTTAGTCAATATATTTCAGCGTGCATTTGTTTATTGCTCTATAACTTAAAATTAAAGAAAATGTAAAACTAGTTAGTTAAGTGATTTGGATGAGAACCATTACATTTACCTAGTCGCTCAAAAATTACAAATTGAATATGAGTACCTTCTTCTTTTTTTTTTTATTGAAAGTTTGTTTGACAATAATAGTTTTGACAGTTAAAATATTAGGATAAAAGTGAAATTTCAAGAATATGAGTCATATAATTACAACGAAAAATACTGTTTTTTGCATTTTTTTTAACAATGCACAGCAGTATAGCCATTAAAAAAAATATGTCATCTTACTATCTTTATGCATATACATCTAATAATATTGTAAACATACTATATAATTAAATATCAGTATATTACTATATTATTACTATATAATCATACAATCACAATTATTTTATACCTATAGAAGGAATACGTACTACTTTTGATTGCCAAAATATAACTCACAAATGTAATTTAACTAACTGCCTATTATTTGGTGTCTTATCATAGATGGAAAACTTATACATGGATGTTTTGTATACAATAAAGTACAAAGTTGGCGCTGATACAGAACTGAGTGCACATCGAGATCAACTATACGTTTACGCACAAAAAGCATTCGATGTCACACCCGAGCAGCACAGACGTTACATGGCCATCGTGCACGAGGAAAAAGTAATTTTTGTTTCTTTTCGTGTTATTTTATTATTATTTTTGAATGGTATAATTTTACAATCATGTTCGCGTTGAGAACATTAATTGCCACCGGGAAGTATAGTACCCTACAGGGCTAACTTACTATCATTGACGAAATCTTCGACAAAAAAAAACCCCAGAAAACGAGGCATTTTAATTGGAGTGTAAAATGGGTACTAAATTCCTCAACGTACGTGCTTTGAATGGATTCCAAATTTTCCGAACAAAGCTTATAGTGCTTAAAAGCTTTTATTTTATTTTATGATTTAGTTCAAGACGTTTATAAGAAATATTTGAGTATATTTGAGTGTTTTTTTTTATGTACACACTAATTCATTGCGTACTGCATATAATTTGTATATAAAACAATTGATTTTATCCATAGCAGCCGTTATTTTGTTTTATATTATAACAACATCATATGTAATGAAAATTAAAAATCTGATGATCCAAGTCTTTTACAAATAATTTTCACTAAGTTCAAATTATACTAGTAGATTCACAATAATCCAAATATGCTGATGTAGTCAATGCATAAGTTTATATTATCACATAAGTTATATTGTTTAAATTCGATATTCTAAACTTTGGAACGTTATATTTATGGTTCAAAGAGTGTAAAAAAACGATGGTATACTCTGGGTGTTGCAGGGGCGTAGCGTGCATATAAGCACTGTAAGCATTGCTTACACTTTAAATCAAAAGAAAAAGAAATTTGATCAATCAAGTCTAATAGATACACAGGTACATACTACCCCTATCATATGTTATGATCTGGATCACTTTATTATATCGGATTAAATCTTTGCTCGTGTTTTTACTCTAAACCGATTTATTTATAAGGTTTATTTGAGCGACCAAAATCTAGGATTTAACGAATTATTACAACATTAAGACAAATAATAATTGTAGTTCTTATTAATTTACTGTACATGTATTTGAACTAGTTCCAAACTAATTTCATGAGCTTCAACTTTCCAAAGGCTTAATCATAGACTATAATATTATAAATGACCTAAGGAGTTAAAGAAGACAATATCCTGATCAGAGGGCCGATCATAAAAATTATCGATCACGTTCACAGACATCTGTCATACCTAGTATTTTCGGTTCATGCCAATTGTTTTTAAAATATATTATTAATATATTAATGTATGTACTAATACTTAATATTACTATTAATGACGCACCAAAAGTAGCAATATTACAAAGTAACAAAAATATAAGGTTTACTAATTACTACGCTATTGAGTCTCCATTATGAAGTTTTCAACATTGTGCATTACGCTGTTAGTTTGGTTGAATAAGTTTCTATTAATATTATATTATGAATTGTCCAAAAATGTAATTATATTTAAAATATTCCTGTAGTTTCTAGGAATACTTTAAGTTAACATTCATTTGAATAAAGTATTCAACAAAATGTTGAACATCATTGCGTAATAGCTGAATTTCTACCAAATATAATCATATTTATAGCAAGTTATTTACTTGGACAACTGTATAAGATTATTTGACAGGCTAGTTAGGCCGTTCTGGGAATAATAAAAATGTCAGAATATTATATCACCTCGATTGACCCTGACATTCTTTGTTTGAATTTATGTCTCAATCCGTCTAAAGTCGTATTTTTGAATTTAAGCATCTCAAAGTTCAAAATACAATGAAGTATAAATATGTTTATCTACAGTACATATACCACAGGGATAATATCTGTGTACTTTTAATAATATAATGTTGTAACTAAATTTTATGTAATTAAGGTAAAATAAGGGAGATGAAAACAATATGATAATTATTGTGTATTTTTTTAAAAATATATGCTTATATTATACGTAAATCAAAATTATGGATTATAAACTTTTTTCATTGCCCGAACAGGACACGGTCGACACGTAATCTCTAGTATTTTATTTTAAGAACCAAGTATGGCAGTATATTTTGCACAAGTTTAATGAGGGAATTTGAACTCCTGAGGCATGAATCTTCAAATGTCCCCGTTTTCTCTATTATATAATAGATAGTATTGTAGAACTCAACACATCTCGTTATCGACTTGTTACGCCTTAACGCCACATCGTCAGAAACCCTTTTCACCGTCATTATTACGTTAAAAATGTACAAAATATATTGTGTATTGTAATGGCATTATTCTTGTATATTTTCTTTAACAATATATATTTTGTTTTTTATCCTTTAGCCTCCCATAGTGGTGCTTCATGTGACGGTGGTCGAAGCTGAAGGCCTGGAGGCGAAAGACGCTAATGGTAAGTTAGGAAATAAAAACTTAGATCGTATAACAGTACTCATCTTTCACGACCAAGTTGTTTCGGAAGTATGTTTATGGCATAATATGGATGCATGAATGTGGGTTGTTTGACGCACCCTATATGCCAGTTATAATATGTCAGTACTGTGGAATGTGGTTCAAAACAACAGACAGAGATTTTTATACAGACAATTTAATAATTACTTGAGATTAATTTCGAATTACTTTTTTTTTTCTAAACACTAATATAAGACGGCGCTTGGTTAGACAATATCAGTACACCTAAGTGTTTTTCTCAAGATGGTGGTATGAAAATATTATTCTCTCAGTAAAATTGAATGTCAATTAAAGTGGTTTTTAGACATAGATTTACAATGATCCTTATTCAACTACATTTTCTATTAAAAAAGTTAAATTGTTAAGACGGGTAAGGGCCATTTTAAAATGTACTTATCTTTGATCATCTGCTCACACAGTCAAAATATGTACAGTTTTATATAAAATTCATTTAAATTTTATTTTTGTCACCTAAAATAAAAATATTTTCTGTATTTTTTTTTATAATCGTATAAAAAACGAATGTATTAGTTGAAACGAATCTACTTGTATGCCTGGACAAAATAATTTCTTGTTGAAATTATGCTAAAATAAAGGACATCCCTGTCTTATAATCATTATATAATCGATATCATATACTTTTTTAAAAGATTTATAATAGTTGTTATCGTACATATCTACATATTCAAACTTCGAATACCCTTTTTATATTACATGGCAGTATTGGTATAAAACTATGAAGTTTACTAAAGAAGAAATTAGTTAAACCATTCTCGTTTGTGACATACAAAATTGTAACTACATATTATACTACTTCTACTATTCAAACCACAAAAATAAATACTTAAAATTAGGACATGTTTTGAATGATGCTATATTTAGTATTCTTCGTTCTAATCTCATTATGAATTTAAGTTGTTATCAAACTTTCAAAGGAAGGGTTTGCTAGGATACCAACATTTAGCTCTTAGTTGAGCTTACATATCATTAAATATAAAACAATTACAGGAGAAGATAATTCCTCATATACATTTTACTCATACA